GGGCGCGGTGGCGGGCACCTGTAGTCCCAGCTACTTGGGAGGCTGAGGCAGGAGAATGGCGGGAACCCGGGAGGCGGAGCTTGCAGTGAGCCGAGATCGTACCACTGCACTCCAGTCTGGGCGACAGAGCGAGACTCCGTCTCAAAAAAAAACAAAAACAAAAACAAAAAAAAATTAAAAAAAATTGCTAGGCTAGGTCAATACGAAGTACTATATTATATTACAGGTGTGTTGGGAATAATTTTAATCCCAACAGCAACAACAATAACAACTACAATAGCAGAATCAGTGTAAAACGTTGTAAGAAAGGTATTTTACCAGAGCGGTTCTGCTCTTCCCGCCCAGAGCTGACTGGAGCGGTTTGGTCAAAACAGAATCTCTATGGAACGTGCAAGACCTTCTTCCCCACGGCTGCATCAGCCAGAGCACTGGAAGAAAAAGAAATGCAAGACAGAGAAAAAGAAGGCCTCAAGAAGAAATCCGCCTTCCTTTGGGATACGTCGGACACAGCTCTCAAATCCCCTCTTTGGCCCCATAAGCCTGATGACTATATCCAATAGTGGAGATGCCTTCTGTCGTCAGTGCTGGAGTAATCTAGCTAAACACCGGCCTGACTCCTCCAAAATCAGCCCTGGAGAAGCCATAACCTAGAGGAGGAAGCCCAGGTCTGAGGAACAAACCACCCAAAGCTGCGAGGAAAACCTGAAGAGCCTGCAGGTTACTGTAAGTTTGTGTGCAGAGGAGGAGCTGCAGTTCAAGGAAGGAGGTGCCAGGCCTGGCAGTGTGCAGATAGGTGTGGGGGGTAGTTTTAGGGCCTTTTCTTGCCTCTCTCATGCTGCCTTAAGATCCCATAAAGTTAGGACCTCATCTGACTATAGCCTCAGGATAGGAGTGAATGAGAAGCACCTGCCCAGCTCCAGTGGCCACAAAGAAAGCAGTGTCGGCACTGAAGAGAGTGGGGAAGCATGCAGGGAGATCCCGCGTGTGAGAAATTATAACCACAAACCGGCCGGGCACGGTGGCTCAGCCTATAATCCTGTAATCCCAGTACTTTGGGAGGCCGAGGTGGGCAGATCACTTGTGGTCAGGAGTTCAAGACCAGCCTGGCCAACACGCGAAACCCTGTCTATATTAAAAATACAAACATTAGCCAGGTGTGTTGGGGGCACCTGTAATCCCAGCTAGTCGGAAGGCTGAGGCAGGAGAACTGCTTGAAACCAGGAGGTGGAGGTGGAGGTGAGCAGAGATTGCACCACTGCCTGGGTAACAGATTGTCTCAAAAAAAAAAAAAAAAAAAAAAGTAAAAAGAAAAAGAAAAAAATTATAACCACAAATGGAAACCTATAAAATTCATCTAGCAGATTTGGAAAAGAAACAAAATGATTTTTTTTAGGAAGGAAGAAATATAATAATTAAAAACATGATGGACAAGTTTAACAGCAAATTAGACACCGCCTAGTTGGAATTAGTGAACTGAATAGTTCTGAATAAATTATTCCGATTGCAGCCCAGTGACACAGATGAGAAACAAGAGAGGGAGTTTAGGAGCCACAGAGGACAGAGTTAGATCCCCCAAGTAGTCTAACTGAAGTCCTAGAAGCGAGGAAGAAATGGGAGATAAAGCTGGAAGAGGAGACAGATATTTTATTGTAAAACATCATTGTAGGGAATGGCATTTTATGTTGCAGACTTCACGTTTTTTCAGTCTGAAATACAATGAAAAGAACCACTTAAGGCCAGGCGCGGTGGCTCACGCCTGTAATCTCAACACTTTGGGAGGCCGAGGCGGGCGGATCACCGTAGGTCAGGAGTTCGAGACCAGCCTGGCCAACATGGTGAAACCCCATCTCTACTAAAAATACAGAAAATAGCCGGCTGCGGTGGCAGGTGCCTGTAATCCCAGCTACTCCAGAGGCTAAGGGTGGAGAATTGCTTGAACCAGGGAGGTGGAGGTTGCAGTGAGCTGAGATCACGCCACTGCACTCCAGCATAGGCGACAAGAGCAAAACTCCGTCTCAAAAAAAAAAAAAGGGAGGTGATAGGTGAGAGATAGTGGCTGAGGATTTCCCAGAACTGATGAAAATCACTACTCTGACTGGATGCTGTGGCTCACATCTGTAATCCCAGCACTTTGGGAGGCCAAAGTGGGCAGATCACGAGGTCAGGAGTTCGAGACCAGCCTGGCCCACATGGTGAAACCCCATCTCTACTAAAAATACAAAAAAATTAGCTGGGTGTGGTGGTGCACACCGATAGTCCCAGCTACTCAGGAGGCTGAGGCAGGAGAATCCTTTGAACCCAGGAGGCGGAGGTTGCAGTGAGCCAAGATTGTGCCATTGCATTCCAGCCTGGGCAGACTCTGTCTCAAAAAAAAAAAAAAAAAAAAAATCACTACTCCATAAAGTCATGAGGGCCCCAAGGGATTCCAAAGAGGAGGAAAAGAAATAGGTTTACACTCAGATGCAACAACATAGTGAAGCTGGAGAACACCAAAAATAGAGAGAAAAGCTTAAAAGCAGCTAGGGGAGAAAAGACAGATTGTCTTCAAGAAAAAGCAGTTAGATAACCGGTTGACAATAGGAGAATGCTTTCTGTGCAGAAAGAAAATACTACCCACCTAAAATTCCATACCCAGCACAAATGTCTTTTTAAGAATGAGGTGGCTGGGTGCAGTGGCTCACATTTGTAATCCCAGCACTCTGGGAGACCAAGGTGTGAGCGTAGCTTGAGCTTAGGAGTTCGAGACCAGCCTGGGCACTGTGGAGAAACCCTGTCTCTACAAAAAAATACAAAAATTATCTGGATGTGGTAGAACATGCCTGTGGTTCCAACTACCTGGGAGGCTGAGGTGGGAGGATTGCTTGAGCCTGGGGGTGTGGAGGCTGGAGTGAGCTGTGATTGTGCCACTGCACTCCAGCTTGGGTGACAGAGTGAGACCCTGTCTCAAAAAAAATAAAAGAATGAGGTAAAAATAAAGATATTTCAACCTAACAAAAACAGACTGCCACCAGCAGATCATCACTAGGGGAAACCCTAAATAACACACTTCAACCAGAAGGAAACTGACCTGAGAGAGCAGCTCTGAGGTATAAGAATAAATACATTTTTAAAAGATAAAGTGAATGAACACTGTGTAAAATAGTGACAACGTCTTCTGGGGTGAAGGAAGAATTGAAATACATAACAAAGAAAAAATATGTAACCATCACATGTAGGATGAAGATTCTTGTATTATCCAGGAGGATTTATTACATTTAGACTTTGACCACAGATTTAAGAGCCAAGAAACAGAGTTAGGTCTACATTGGCCGGGCACAGTGGCTCACACCTGTAATCCCAGCACTTTGGCAGGCCGAGGAGGGAGAATCACTTGAGCTCAGGAGTTCGAGACCAACCTAGGCAACATGGTGAAACCCCATCTCTACAAAAGCTACAAAAATTAGCTGGGCATGGTGGTGAATGCTGTAATCCCAGCTACTCAGAAGGCTGAGGCAGGAATGTCGCTTGAGCTTGGAAGGCAGAGGTTGTAGTGAGTGGAGTTCGCACCATTGCACTCCAGTCTGGGTGACAGAGCAAGACTCTGTCTCAAAAAAAAAAAAAAAAGTGAAAAGCATATATCGAACTTTGATATGACAGAGGTAGCATAGACGATCATTGGGAGAAGGAGGGACTACTCAACACATGGAACTGGAAAGATTGGTAATCTATAAGGAAAAAGGATGAAAAGCATGCCTACCTTACATCATACACAGAAATCAACTCAGGATGGATAGGAACTTAAATGTAATACAGGTAGTTACCTTTCTAACTCTAATTTTCTTTTTCTTTTTTTTTTTGAGAGAGTCTCGCTCTGTCGCCCAGGCTGGAGTGCAGTGGCCGGATCTCGGCTCACTGCAAGCTCTGCGTCCCGAGTTTACACCATTCTCCTGCCTCAGCCTCCCGAGTAGCTGGGACTACAGGCACCCGCCACCTCGCCCGGATAATTTTTTTTATATTTTTAGTAGAGACGGGGTTTCACCGTGTTAGCCAGGATGGTCTCGATCTCTTGACCTCGTGATCCGCCCGCCTCAGCCTCCCAAAGTGCTGGGATTACAGGCATGAGCCACCGGGCCCGGCCTTCTAATTTTCTTAAACAGGAAACAAATGCAAAACGTAAACCATAACCATAACTTCTGCTCATCAACAAACACCTTAAAGTGGAAAGACAAGCTAACTGGGAGAGATACTTTTAATACATTTACCTGAGAAAAGAATAATAAATCTGTAAAGAATGCCTACAAGTCAATACAAAGGCAATAACTCAAGAGAATGATAGGAAAAAAAAAGTAACAGGCATTGCAAAAGGAAGTACATTGCTAAGAAGCATATCAAGATGCTTAAACTCATTAGTAACCAGGAACATCAAGACCATAGTAAGATTTATTTGCACCAACTTAATTGGTAAATATAAAGAAATCTGATAATACCAAGTCTTAGAAAAGATGTAGATCAATCCGATATCTAATACATTGCTGCTGGGAATTAAATTGGTCCAACTATTTTGGAAAAGTCTGTTAACATCTTTCAAAATTGGGTATTCATATACCTTAGAACCCAACAATTTTAGTTATTTGTCTATATGCAAACTTTAATACAGTCACACATCCCATAACCATGTGGTGGTCAACCACAGACTGTACACACAGCAGTGATGAAACCACCATATTTTTACTGTATCTTTTCTATGTTTAGATATACAAGTACTTACTGTTATGTTACAGTTGCCTACGATATTCAGCCCAGTTACATGCTGTACTGCGGTATAAGCACAGCTGGGAGCAATCTTTTATAACAAAGAGCCTGGTGCTCTGCAGGCAACGCCGTCGCCATCGAGGTTTGTGTAAGTACACTCTCTGATGTCTACACAACAAAATCGCCTACTGATGCATTTCTGAGAACATATCCCCACTGGATTTTTGTTAGTTTTGTTTGTTTTGAGCCAGGGCCTCACTGTGTCACCCAGCCTGGAGTGCAGTGGCATAATCAGAGCTCACTGCAGCCTCTGCCTCCTGGACTCAGGTGATCGCCCACCTCAGCCTCCTGAGTAACTGGGATTACAGGCAGGCACCACCACGTCTGGCTAATTTAAAAAAATTTTTTGAGATGAGGTTTTGCCACGTTACCCATGGTGGTCTCAACTTCCTTGGCTCAAGTGATCCACCCACGCTGGCCTCCATACTGCCATTGTTTTTTTGTTGTTGTTGCGTTTTTTTGTTTTGTTTTGTTTTGACACTGTGTTTCACTCTTGTCACCCAGGCTGGAGTACAATGGTGCCATCTCGGCTCACTGCAACCTCCACCTCCCCGGTTCAAGTGATTCTCCTGCCTCAGCCTCCCGAGTAGCTGGGATTATAGGCATGTACCACCATGCCCAGCTAATTTTGTATTTTTAGCAGAGACAGGGTTTCTACCTGTTGGTCAGGCTGATCTTGAACTCCTGACCTCAGGTGATCCGCCTGCCTTGGCCTCCCAAAGTGCTGGGATTACAGGCGTGAGCCACCTTGTCCGGCCGATATCCCCATTGTTAAGCGATGCATGACGGTGTTAATACCCAATGATTTGCACAGGAATGCTCATAATAGCACTACTTATAATAGCAAAAAACAAACTGGGGACAATCAAAATGCCAGTCAGGGAATGAATAAATTGTGGCATATTCCCACAGCGGAATCCTATGCAACAATGAAAAACAACGATTGCTCCACGCAACAACGTGGAAGAATCTCATAGACAATGTTCAGTGAAAGAATGGAAAACTCACTCTAGGTACAGCATCATGTGGATAGATACTGTTAATACCGTTGAGTCTAAAAGCAAGTCCTCGCAGTCCTACTCCTGCCTACATGCCCAAGAGAAATGAGTGACTATTTTCCCCAAAATACACGTATAAAAACATTCACAGCAACTTTATAACAGCCCAAACCTGGAAATAAGCTAAATGCCCCTCAATTGGAGAATGGATAAGTAAATTATGAGACATTCACACATTGATATATTGTATAACAATGAAAATAATAACTGATACATGAAACAACTTTGATTAATATCATAGACGCAATCCTTGGTGAAAGAAGCCAGATGGTTAAGCCGGTGACCTCATAAAAATGATTGCATTTATACGAAAATCACTACAATTAGGCAAATCTAATCCACAATGACAAAGGTCCATTTCTTCTGGTGGGAGTGTCAACCGGGAGGGAGTATGAAGAGCTGTGTGGGTTTTGGAAATGTGTTATACTCTGATCTGGATGATAATGACGGAGGTATATACATCTATAAAAACTTATGTGCTGAACGCGTAGGATTTGTGTACTTTACTGTAGTTTATACCTTAATGAGAAAAGTTTTTAAAGTTCCAGAAGACAAAATGGAATTTCACCCTTTTTATAAAGTTCAGAAATGAGAGTTACTAAACAATAATATTCACATGTGATAAAACTAGGAAGGAGAGAGCTGAGCGGGGAGAGAACATAAAATTCAAGATGATGGTTACCTCCAAGGGGAGCATAGGAGAGGAACACCAACAATTCTTGGGTTGGATGGCAGTTGTATCAGTGTTACTCTATTTAAAAATAAAGTAATTGGTTTAAAATAAAATATGGAGGCCACCCAGGCATGAGCCAGTGACACCAGCGGATCATGCACCAAGGGTTATCATTAATCCAGTTTTTCATACCTGAGGTCGTTTTTATAACACAAATACCGGTCCACTGATGATTTACCTGATAACATTTCCCAAATTGGTTAAACTTAACGCGTGATCCTTCCCTCAGTCTGTCTCCTTCAGATCCTGAAGATTTCTGCCTCTCACTTCCTGCAAGGTCCACCAAATTAATGCTGGATTGTTTGGTGAGGTCTCTTTCTAGGAAAACCTGGAGAAAAGCATCACAGGTCATGCCACAATATTAGGGAGGTGGCAGGCTGCATGGGCGGGCACTCCCCTTGACATGTAAAGTGGTCTTTTTTTTTTTTTTTTGAAACAGTCTTGCTCTGTCTCCCAGACTCCCAGGCTGAAGTGCAGTGGCATGATCTTGGCTCACTGCAACCTCCACCTCCCAGGTTCAAGTGATTCTCCTGCCTCAGCCTCCTGAGTAGCTGAGACTACAGGCACCTGCCACCACAGCTGGCTAATTTTCGTATCCTTAGTAGAGATGGGGTTTCACCATATTGTACAGGCCGGTCTCAAACTCTTGACCTCAAGCGATCCACCCACCTCAACCTCCCAAAGTGCTGGAATTACAGGCGTGAGCCACCGCGCCTGGCCTTAAATGGTTGTTTTCATTGTATTTCAGACTGAAAAAACAAAATCCGCAACATAAAATGCCATTCCCTACAATAACATTTTACAATAAAATATCTCAGTCTCCTCTTCCCATTCTGTAAATCTCCTTTCCAGTAAAACGCTAGATACCGATTAGTGCTCCATTATTTCTATGATCAATAAATTCTTAATAGAAATCACTGTGAAATATGCAAAATAAGTAGCTCTTCAGGACTGTGTGGTCATGTGGAAAGAACATGTACTTCAGGATCCTACAGATTCCTTTGCAGCCTCCGTGACTTTGTGCAAACGACTTATCTTTTCAGAGTTTCAACTTTCACAGTGGCAAACCAGTGATAGGAACACATTCCTGAGATGTTATGAGGGTTAAAGATCATAGAGGTGATGGTTGTAGCACATGCCTGGCACACAATATCAGGTGTTAATATCACTACTGATCCCAATATACAGAGTACGGTGCTAACTCTCTTCACTCCTTTTTTCCTAGCTAATTTCTTCACTTGCCCCTAAAATACCAAGTTAAAAAAATATCAGGGCAAACCATATATAAAGTTGGTGAATTTTACTAACATTGTGAAATCAAGTGAATAGTACTTAAAAGTTTACAAAGTTCCTTCAAATGCAGTATCTTATTCAAGCTTCCTGACATTACTGCAAGGAGAGTATCTCGTCTCATCTTACAGAAGAGGAAACTGAGGCTCAGAGGTTATTTCCCAAAGGCTTAGAGCTGGTGAACAGAGGTGTCCAGACTTGAACACAGTCCCGTGCTTTCCCCTTATTCCTGCATAGAACGAGATTCTTTTCATGGATTACTGTTCTATTACTGGTACTAAGACTTAGGGGACAGAGGTGGTAGGATCATAGCTACATGTAACATTGACCCAGGATTTGTGAATAGCCATTTCTAGATCAAACTGGTGGCACTGTAGAGATCACTCTCTGATGTCCACCGAGGTACCGGTGTGGAGGATCAAAGTGGGCTCTAGTTGATCTAAGATTCTAGTTAGTGGAATGCTACATGCACTGCTTGGTTCCTAAGAACTTACTGGGTGCGGCCGGGCGCGGTGGCTCATGCCTGTAATCCCAGCACTTTGGGAGGCCAAGGTGGGCAGGTCACCTGAGGTCGGGAGTTCAAGACCAGCCTGACCAACATGGAGAAACCCCGTCTCTACTAAAAATACAAAATTAGCCAGGCATGATGGTGCACGCCAGTGATCCCAGCTACTCAGGAGGCTGTGGCAGGAGAATCGCTTGAGCCTGGGAGGCGGAGGTTGCAGTGAGCCGAGATCATGCCATTGCACTCCAGCCTGGGCAACAAGAGCAAAACTCCGTTTCAAAAAACAAAAAAACAAAAAAACTTGATGCATCCACGCATGGAAAGGGTACTTCAGTACCTGGCAGTCCTCAGGCTTGTGGGTCTGAATGCTGGTCTCACGGTGGTAATGAACAGATGTGTTGCTGATGCAGTTCTCCAGGATAAACCATGGAGACACTCTCATACCTTCACAATTTGCTCCTTGATCAAATTGGGGTCAAAGCTTATTTCTCCAAGCCCTGGAATGTACTTGAGGGAAAACAGCTCTTAGTCCTATGGGGCCCTTTGGGGCTCTGATAGGCTCACTTAGGCTGGGTGGGGTGTGACCATTGAGGTGGGAGGGAGGCAGGAAAAGGGCACACATGTCCCCTTTTCCTGTTTCTGGCTCTATATGCTGTGGTTGGAAGAGCCACCTTCATCCATAGGTCAAATCTGCAGGATCCTATAATACCCACCAACCCATTATGCCAGGGGGAGCCTTCCGCAGAGCAGCCTTGTGTGGAGATCCCACCAGGGGGAGCCTTCCGCAGGGGCAGCCTTCCTCCCAGAGCGGCGTTTTCTGGAGATGGGGACAGCGGTGTCCACTCGGCTCTCACCTGCTTGAACTGGATGGTGATGACCAGGTGGGACCGGCTGCTGCTGGCATTCATGTTGGTCGAAACCGTGGTCCTTATTTTTGTTCCTTGTTCCATCAGCCTTTCAATTTGGGCATAGTTCTGACAGGGCACCAACTTCAGGCCTTCCACGTATAAGCCCAGCTGTTGATCTTCCCTTACTCTGAGCCCACCAGGTTTTTTGGTTCTGGACAGTAAATCTCTTATCTATAGAAAATAGAACAAATAATGTAAACTTCAGGAAGGCAGGGGTTGTTGTTTACTTCACTTCTGCATCTCTGCCTATATAGATGCTCAATAATAGTTATTGGATGAATGGATAAATTTCTGTAGGTATTTCATAATTTAGCAAAGTAAGAAATAGGGAAATTGCAAGCAAAAGGATAGGAAGACTGCCGTAATTAGTGAAGTCAGAAGCAAGCTTCCACTGGAGACAGAGTTTTGCTTTGGTTGCCCAGGCTGGAGTGCAATGGCGTGATCTCAGCTCACCGCAACCTCCGCCTCCCGGGTTCAAGCGATTCTCCTGCCTCAGCCTCGCAAGTAGCTCAGGTTATAGGCATGCGCCATCATGCCTGGCTACTTCTTGTATTTTTAGTAGAGACAGGGTTTTACCATGTGGGCCAGGCTAGTATCAAACTCCTGACCTCAGGTGATCTGCCTGCCTCCGCCTCCCAAAGTGCTGGGATTACAGGCGTGAGCCACCGTGCCTGGCCGGCTTTTCTTTTTAAGTTAAAAAAAAAATTTCTTTTATAAATATAGTTTTATTGTTGTCAGGTATATACCTAGACCACTCCAACCAGACTGAGTTCCCTAAGGGTGGGTGTCTTTTTATCAGTGGATCCTCACAGTTCCTGACACAGAGCACGCGCGATGAGCATTGCATGCACAGTGCAACTGGAGCTGGGCTCACACCTGACACTTAGTTCACTGCTCCGGGGGCCGGGGAAGCTGCCTTTGCAGCATGATGAGGTGTGTGAGTAGGTGTCCACAGCGGTCTGTCTATAAATAGGTGCTTCTGAAGTTTTTGCACTTGAACACATTGTTCTCTTATTAACACAAATATTCTCCTGGCAATCTCATTAACTCTATTTCATTAGCAACTCCTTCGCAGATAATATAAAAATAAACCACCATAGCCTCTTTCTAAATTCTGTATTACAAAGTAATGAAGTCTTACTTTACTAAGAACAGTGATAAATAATAAAAGTAATTGGAAGTTAGTAATGTTCAAAGTACCTAATATGCGCAGAAGACACGTTCTGCCTGGGTTAAGTCATGGCACAACAAATACCACTAGCCTGAGACCTCTACTTCCAAGGGAAACTCAGTCTCAACAGTATTTGTGGCCGGGCGCGGTGGCTCACGCCTATAATCCCAGCACTTTGGGAGGCTGAGGCTGGTGGATCGTTAGAGGTCAGGAGTTCAAGACCGGTCTGGCCAACATGGTGAAACCTCATCTCTACTAAAAATACAAAACAAATTAGCCGGGCATGTTGGCGGGCACCTATAGTCCCAGCTACTCAGGAGGCTGCGGCAGGAGAATCACTTGAACCCGGGAGGCAGAGATTGCAGTGAGCTGAGAACACACCACTGCACTCCAGCCTGGGTGACAGAAGAGACTCCATCTCAAAAAAACAAACAAACAAAACCCCAGTATTTGCAACAGCCTAACCAAACCAGAAAATCTGAGTAATTCTTTGGATTTTATTATGGGAGGTTTGTGTGATGATGCTTACACCAGGGCCTTAGGGAAATTCCCATGTCCCCTTACTCTCAAAGCCACTACTAAGAAGGCAAAGCAGAGTCATGCTGTGTCCCAGTCGAGCCGGAGCAGCCTGTGTTACGTGGTGCAGAGAGACCCAGACTGAGAATCAGACCTGGCATCTTAGTCCTGGTTCTGCCTCCAACATGTGAGACCTTTGGAAAGTCTCTGACATTACCAGTGTTCTTCTTCTAGAAGGACAGATTAAATGATCTCTAAGCTCTCCCCGAGCTCGAGCGTCTGTGGCTTTAAGTCCTAGAGTCCAGGCAAGATGGCAGATTGAAGTTTGGGGGAAGCAAAATTAGGATGACAGACATAAGGTGCCGGAGATAAAACATCAAAATGGGGACAACTTCTGCCTTAGCTAGGAAGCCTTTCTGTAATTTCCCCCGTGATAGAAACGATAGGAAGTGGCATATCAGACTGAAGACATGACTGAATCAGGCTTATTAGAAAAACGGCGAGTAAGTGTATCTGGATGGAATAGAAGTACAGGGACTGACAGGGACAGATGCTGGCAGCAGGACCCTCAAGTTATACCTGGAGATCAAGAGTGACGATGGGCCGGGTGCGGTGGCTCCTGCCTGTAATCCTTTGGGAGGCCGAGGCAGGAAGATTACCTGAGGCCAGGAGTTCGAGACCAGCCTGGGCAACATAGTGACACCCTGTCTCCACAATTATTATTATTATTATTATTATTATTATTTTTTTTTTTTTTAGACGGAGTCTCTCCCAGTCTCCCAGGCTGGAGTGCAGTGGCGCGATCTCGGCTCACTGCAAGCTCCGCCTCCCAGGTTCACGCCATTCTCCTGCCTCAGCCTCCGAGTAGCTGGGACTACAGGCACCCGCCACCTCGCCCGGCTAGTTTTTTGTATTTTTAGTAGAGACGGGGTTTCACCGTGTTAGCCAGGATGGTCTCGATCTCCTGACCTCGTGATGCACCCGCCTCGGCCTCCCGAAGTGCTGGGATTACAGGCTTGAGCCACCGCGCCCGGCCTATTTTTTTTTTAATTAGCTGGGCATGGTAGTGTGCGCCTGTAGCTCCAGCTACTTGGAGGCTGAGGTAGGAGGATCACTCGAGCGCAGGAGTTGAAGGTTACGGTGGGTTATGATCGTGCCACTGTACTCCAGCCTGGGCAACAGGCAGAGACCTTGTTTCAAAAAGGAAAGAAAGAGATAAAAAGATCGCCACAACCTTGTCCCTGACCTGGGCCATCGAGAGCCTCCTAACTCCTGCTCTGCTCTGTCTGGCACTCCTTCAAGCCCGGCTTCACTCTGCCGCTGGAGAAACACCTGAAACCCCGATCTGATATTTTACTGCCCCGTTTGGAAGCCTTGCTTGGTTCTCCGTTGACTGCTCATTGAAGGACTTTCCTTCTTGGCAACAATCTTTGGCTTCATCCCCGGATGCTCCCCCTACCCTCAGCAGCCTCATACCCACTCCCGCCACACAGGGTACTTGCCCGCCCCGTAAATGCTAACTTTCATGTGTTAATGGATTTAAAATACCCATCCTGCTGCCGGAAGTGCCGCTATTTCTATCTGCACCTTGCACCCTCACTTCTCTGCCTCGCCAAACTCATAACCCTCTTTCAAGGCCCAGCCTCACTCCTCTGCGGACGGCAGGGAACAGCCGTGGTGGTATTAGCTCCACCCCGGCTTCCAAGCCTCCGCCGGGTGCCGCTCGTGTGCACACATAGCATCGTGTTACTTGCTGCAGTGAGTGTTGCGTCCTCCACTAAGCTGCTCCAGGGCGGGAATCACGTCTTAGGTTTTATTCATCCTCAGAGTCTAGCATTCTGTCTAAAACATTAAGGATATTTAACAGATCTTATTTAATTGGCTGCTGAAAGAACTGACAGAAAAACGAGGCTTGAAAAGGATGTTAGTGTCAGGCCTCTGAGCCCAAGCTACGCCATCATATCCCCTGTGACCTGCACGTATACCTCCAGATGGCCTGAAGTAACTGAAGAACCACAAAAGCAGTGAAAATGGCCTGTTCCTGCCTCAACTGGTGACATTACCTTGTGAAATTCCTTCTCCTGGCTCATCCTGGCTCAAAAGCTCCCCCACTGAGTACCTTGTGACTCCCCCTCCTGCCAGCCAGAGAACAACCCCCTTTAACTGTAATTTTCCACTACCCACCCCAATCCTATAAAACAGCCCCACCCTTATCTCCCTTCACTGACTCTTTTCGGACTCAGCCCGCCTGCACCCAGGTGAAATAAACAGCCGTGTTGCCCACACAAAGCCTGTTTGGTGGTCTCTTCACACGGACAAGAGTGAAACTTAGGATGCCCAATTCTCTGCTTTTGTTGTTGTTGTTTTTTTGAGACGGAGTCTTGCTCTGTCATCCAGGCTGGAGTACAGTGGCGCAATCTTGGCTCACTACGAGCTCCGCCTCCCAGATTCACGCCATTCTCCTGCCTCAGCCTCCTGAGTAGCCTCCTGGGACTACAGGTGCCCGCCACCACACCCGGCTAATTTTTGGTATTTTTTAATAGAGACAGGGTTTTGCCGTGTTAGCCAGGATGGTCTCGATCTCCTGACCTCGTGATCCGCCCGTCTCGGCCTCCCAAAGTGCTGGGATTACAGGCGTGAGCCACCGCGCCCGGCTGCCCGGCCCTGATTCTCTTACTTAGAGATAAGGAACAGAATTCCAGAGAGATGATCATCATGAGTGGCTGTCAGTAGGGGAACCATGGTAAGTTGTCCTCCTCCCCACATTCTTCCCCATAAGAAGCCAGTAGTAAAGGGAGTAAGGTCCAGGGTTTGGGTAGTTTCTGGGGTTCCACTAAAACTACTAGCATATGGCCTCTGATCATAAGAAACCTACAATTATAGGTACATTTGTCAATGTATCCATTCAGCAAGCATCTAGGAAGCACCGATTCTAGACTAAATATTGCATAAGTCCTGTGGATGAAAAAGTATGTGATTATTTGGAAATCACAACTATGTAAATAAAATTTTACAGTACAGTGTAATAAGTGCAAGGGGAAAGGGTAGAATGAAAAAAATGCTGAAGATCTAGCTTTGGATAGGCACTGTGTTAGACATTTAAAAATTTAGTACATCTTCAGATGTAGTGTCTTATTTTAAATTTTCCTTATGAAAATGTAAACTGAGCTCTGAGATAAGATGAGTTTCCAAAGTCACACAGCTAGTAAACAGGAGAGCTGGGCTTTGAAACCATCCTCTTCCGACTCTCCAGGAGCTGGGGAACCACAACCTGTGAGCCGCATTCAGCCCACTGCCTGCTTTTGACCCTTGAGCTCTGAGTGTTTATCACGTTTTTAAATGGCTGAAACAAAAGTACTATTTTGTGACATATGAAAATGATGTAATATTCAAATTTTGTGTCTATAAGTAAAGTTTCATTGAGACACAGACAGTTGCGCCTTCTCCCGTCTCGTCTACGGCTTCTGTTGAACTATGACAGCAGAGTTGAGTGCCTGCAGCAGGGACAGCGTGGCCCCCAAAGCCTGAACTATTGACTACCTGGCCCTTGGCGGGTAAAGTTTGCCAGTCCCTGTACAGTGTCATGCCGGCTAAAGCTACCTGCCTCAGAGCAAGGTGCTGACCTTGAGCTGGATCTTCAAGTTTAGTGGCTTCTTTAAGGACAGAGAAGGGAGAATCGGTGCTCCAGGCAGAGAAAGGATAGATGCGAGAAAGGAGAACATGCTCTGGAAAGGAGGAACAGTTCCATGCGTGAAGAGAAGGGGACGTTGATGAAGTTGGAGAGGTAGGTGGGGCTGGGGAGTTGAGGCCAGGCCAGAGTTTACGGGCAGGACAGGTGACCCTGAGTCCCACAGGTTTGCTGAGCTGCAGAGTCGCCCAGATTTGCATGTCAGAAACATCTCTATTACCTGTTCATTGTAAATTTCCAGCATACTGAACGTAACCTGCATGGAGAAGAGCACACAAAGTAAATATTCTCTTGAAACAGTTATTTTGGGGGCAGAGAAGTGATAGGGAAACAACATAAATGTTGAACAACGGGGAAAAAGCTGATGCTAAATAAAGCAAAGCTCTGTTTCAATGTGCAATATGAGGTTCTCAAATAATGATATGGGGGAAGTTCCTACTATAATTAAAAACAGATATAGGCTGGACGCGGTGGCTCACGCCTGTAATCCCAGAACTTTGGGAGGCTGAGGCAGGCGGATCACTTGAGGTCAGAAGTTTGGGACCAGTGTGGCCAACATGGTGAAACCACATCTCCACTAAAAACACAAAAATTAGCCAGGCGTGGTGGCGGGTGCTTGTAGTCCCAGCTGCTCGGGAGGCTGAGGCAGGAGAGTCACTTGAACCTGGGAGGTGGAGGTTGCAATGAGCTGAGATCGCACCACTGCACTCCAGCCTGGGCGACAGAGTGAGGCTCCATCTCACAAAAATAAAAACAACAACAACAAAAAGATACAAAACAGTAGTACATGTGTTTTGGTCTCGACTGGGGACAGAGAAAGGCTGTTCTTTCATGTTCACGCCCCAATCTGAACATATGTGGAGAGACTGGTCTCCACCCGCCCATGCTCTCCGACTCCTGCTAGCCAACCTCGTACCTCTTAAGCAGGAGTGGGGGACTCTGGATGGCTCTAGTCTAGAGCAAAGGCCTCGAGTACTGGCATTTTCCCACCTCCCCCAAGAGAAAGCTGGCTTGTCTGTCACCCCGCAGTAAGTCTTGCTAGTCAGGCCTTGCAGCCACAGAGCTTCCTGTTAGCTTCCGTATGTCTCATGTTTTTTATTTTTATTTTCCATATGTAATATATCCATGTAAGGGTGTCTCATGTTTAAAAATGAACAAAGGGCCAAGGATTAGCAGACAGAGAAAGCCTGCAATATAGAGAGAGGGGTTAAAACAAACAAGTAGAAAGAAGGAACTCAAGAAACAGACTGAGAGAGTAAAAGGCAATGTTTTTTTCTTTCTTTTCTTTTTTTTTTTTTTTTTTTTTTTTTTGAGGCAGAGTCTCGCACTGTCACCCGGGCTGGAGTGCAGTGGCGCAATCTTGGCTCACTGCAACCTCTGCCTCCCAGGTTCAAGCGATTCTGCTGTCTCAGTCTCCCAAGTAGCTGGGATTACAGGTGCCCACCACCAGGCCCAGCTAATTTTTTTGTATTTTCAGTAGAGACGGGGGTTTCACCATGTTGGCCAGGCTGGTCTCGAACTCCTGACCTTGTGATTCACCTGCCTCGGCCTCCCAAAATGCTGGGATTACAGGTGTGAGCCACCATGCCTAGCATTTTTTTTTTTTTTTTTAAGACAAGGTTCTGCTGTCGCCCAGGCTGGAAATGTAGTGGTATGATCTCAGCTCACTGTAGCCTCAACCGCTGGGCTCAAGCAATTCTCCTGCCTCAGCCTCCTGAGTAGTTGGGACTATAGGATCATGCCACCACGCCCAGCCAACTTTTGTATTTTTAGTAGAGGTGGGATTTTGCCATCTTGCTCAGGCTGGTCTTGAACTCCTGGCCTCAAGTGATATGCCCCCCTCATCCTCTCAAAGTGCTGGGATTACAGGCATGAGTCACCGTGCTCAGCTTAGAAATATTTTTTAAAGCCCTAGAAGTAATAGCCTCAAAGAAAGAATTATACCCATGGAAAAAAAGAGGATTTTATTTGAAAGAACAACCAGAGAATAAAAGAAAGTGCTTGTAAATTAAATTTATGAATGACAGCCAAAATAAAAATGCAGGAGGGTTATAATAACATTAAGGGAAACTTCTAGAATGCAGAATAAAAA